GGCTCCTAGTGGCTCTGGAAAGAAAGAGGTATGTGAATACTGCAAGAAGCCAAAGCACACCAAAGACAAGTGTTGGAAATTACATCTCGATCTTGTTCCTATTCGGTTTTAGAAAAAACATGATAGTAGAAGGGCAGGGAGTGCAAATGTGGCTGTTGGTCCAGATACTGAAGTTGAGTCTGCTTGTGCACAGTTGGCAGCCATGAAAGCAGAGTATGAAAAGTTTGGGAAGATGATCAGTCATCTCGAGGGTGTAACTTCTTCTTCCAACCCTTCAGGAAATTCAGCTCCTTCTGCATTTGCTCATTCAGGTATAAGGGTTTTTGCTAATCATGCAACCACTTCAGGTAATCTTAAGATCCCTTGGATTATCGACTCACGGGCATCTGATCATATGACCAACCTTTCTACTTTGTTTGTTTCGTATGATTTGCTTCCTGGACGTGATTAAATCACCTTAGCCGATGGTTCTCTTGCCTCTATTTCTGGCAAGGGAACCGTCAAGGCTACAAATTCCTTGCTCCTATCTTCTGCCCTTCATGTACCTAGACTAAAATACAAATTTGTTATCTGTAAGTAGTTTAACCAAGTCATTAAATTGTTGTGTAACCTTTTTTCCTTCCTACTATGTTTTTCAGGATCTGGAGTCTCAGAAGGTGATTAGGAGTGGCCATGAGGCGAACGGAATATACTTGCTTGATACTCCGGGACAATGCTCTGATCAGCCTGGGAATGTTGCTTTTGGGTTTGTTTCTTTAGAGTCTACTAGTCGAATTATGTTGTATCATCGTCGTTTGGGCCATCTGTCTTTTTCTGCTTTAAGTCATTTATTCCCTGAACTATTCAAGGGAATTAGTGTGTCTAGTCTTCATTGTGAATCTTGTGAGTTATCAAAGCATTGTAGAAACAATTATCCTTTGAGCAATAAAAGAACTTCTTTTCCTTTTAATATTGTGCATTCTGATGTGTGGGGGCCTTATCACTTACCCTCTATGGGGGGCTACAAATATTTTATCTTGTTTATTGATGACTTTTTTCGGTTCACTTGGATATTCCTGATGAAATCTCGTGATGAAGTTCCAAGACTTGTAAGACAATTCCATGAATTTGTTCTAGCCCARTTTGATACCAGGATTAAAATTTTCAGATCTGACAATGCAAAAGAATATTTTGAGAAGAGCTTATCCCGCTATCTCTCTAACATGAGGGTTATTCATCAAAGTTCTTGTGTTAGGACCCCATAACAGAACGGAGTTGCTGAAAGACAAAATAGGCATATTGTTGAAGTTGCAAGAAGTATTTTGTTTGCCCCACATTACAAGATTTTGGGGTGATGTTGTCCTCACTGCTACCTACCTCATAAACCGTATGCCATCCAGGGTTTTAGGGTTTAAGTCTCCCTTCAATCTTCTTCATCCGGACAATGACCTTTTTCCTATTCCTCTTCGTGTCTTTGGTTGCACCTGTTATGTACATGTTCCAAGTGTCCAAAGACATAAATTTGAACCAAAAGCCCACAAGTGTATCTTCCTTGGCTATTCCCCCACACAGAAGGGTTACTGTTGTTTTGATCCAAAGAGTAGCACTCGATATGTCTCAATGGATGTCACCTTTGATGAGTTTTCTCCCTTTTATGGTTCCTCTCTGGAAGGACATTGTCCACAGAGGGAGGGTTTATCACAAGTGTTTGTTCTTCCTCTCCCTGTCCCAGTTGAATCTTTAATTGAGTCTGTGTCTCCTTCAAATGAATCAAGGGAGGGTCAGTCATTCCATTCTCCCTGTCCCAGTGTTCTTCCCTCTTTACCTCCTCGTCCTATCCTCAACCCCAAGGTGTATCAAAGGCAAAGATCTAGGAATGAGCAGGTTGTTTCCCCTACAACACATGAGCCTCATGCACTTCCAGTCACAGATGAGACAACAGCTACTGTTTCAACCCCTTTGGAGCCATCTTTCCCTGACCTTGATATTCCCATTGTTGTTAGGAAAGGAAAACGGAAGTGCACTGCACACTGCATTTCCAAATACGTTTCTTATAGTTTACTTACCCCTTCATATTTTTCTTATCTCTCTTCAGTTGCCTCTAACCCTATTCCCAGGTCTGTGTCAGAAGCTCTTAATATTCCAGAATGGAGGGATGAAATGAGATCTGAAATTGATGCCCTACACAAGAATGACACTTGGGAAGTGGTTGATTTGCCTGAAGGGAAGTATCCAGTTGGTTGCAAGTGGGTCTTTACTATTAAATATCGGGCTGATGGGACCATTGAGAGGTACAAGGCCAGGCTAGTTGCAAAAGGCTATACACATACGTATGGGATTGATTATCTGGAGACCTTTGCACCTGTTGCTAAGATGACATCTGTGAGGGTTCTTCTATCTCTAGCTGCTCACTTTGACTGGCCCCTTTATCAATTGGRTGTAAAGAATGCATTTCTGAATGGTGAATTACATGAGGAGGTTTATATGTCTCTTCCTCCAGGGATGTATGGAAGAGATATGCAAAGAAAGGTATGCAAAC